AGAGAGAGAGAGAGAGAGAGAGAGAGAGAGAGAGAATTGATATCGGTTTCAGCTTTTACAAAAATAACAAGCGTTTCATGTGACTTCTGTAAATGTTTTGAATAGTTGTTTAGACATTAATTTATGTTTAGCAAATTATGTATGTGTGCATTTATTTATTTAGTTTATTCTATTAATTATTCTATACTTTGTATGATTTGTGATTCGATATTTTTTGTGTATTGTATGTAAAATAGTATATATAATCTCCAAAGACCCAAAAGTATCAATGTAAGTGTAGAGCAGAACAGAATCAGAGTCTGGACACACTGAAGAATAATTTCTTCAACAGTCCGAGATTAACCGAAGAACAATGAAAGCGAATCAGACAGAGAGAGTTTGAGAGTTTGTGTCTGCTGAGTTCAGATGATGGTTTAGATGGGATGACTCTTATCCAATCCCACAATCCCTCTGGCCACAGACCACGGCTCCAATCACCCGCTCAGACAATTAGAGGGTGTAAATGAGAGTGAAAGTCCCAGCTCAGCTCTCTGTGTGATTAAACCGTATGAGAAAGTGCACATAACAGCAGCTGAACTACAGAAAACCACAGAAGCACACCTGAAGAAGTGCTTCACAGCTCCAGCCTGTTCTTACACGACTGACTAAACCAAACAGACCTCCAAAACAGTTCGTTCAATGATTAATTTCTCATCCTATAAAGTAATCGCAGATGTGGTTTAGATTTTGTATTTGTATTTGTGTTAGCCTTGCTTTCTCGTGATTTTCTGATGGTGTTTGCACCATGTATAACAGAAACATCCACTAAAAATACAATAAACCACACTATTATGAGTAATGAATGAATGTAAAAATTAATGTGAACATAATATTATTCTCAAGTATCTTTTACATTTAATAAACAATTGTAAACATTAGTAACTGTTTTGCAGAAATCTTCAATCCCAAATATGCAGTTAAAATGAAAACAAAAATTAAAGTGCAATATTTCCAAAAAGCAGATCTTTGGTTTTAGAATGCACACAAAATTAAAAATACTTATTGAATAAGTGTCCAAATTGCATATTAATATAGTTTTTTGACACAAGTTTTATTTTTGGAAAATAAAATAAAGAAAGCAAGCAAGAAAAGGAAATAAAGAAAATAAATTGAATGAACGAAAAAAAGTAGAAATTGTCAGTCCCTCACATGCTGTTAATAAATAAATGAAGAAAAAAAAAAGATTTTTGTTTAAGAATGCATGCACAATTAGCACATATTTAATGTAATTGTGTACATATTGCACATCCATACACAATTTTTTAGAATATTTTTTTTTTTTATAAAACAGAAAGCAAACAAGCGTGTGCGAGTGCGGATGTTGTTGTGTGCGTGTCTGTGTGTTTCTCTCTGAAGCGGATCAATGACTCGGTCTGATCACAGCTTCAGCAGCATTGACCAGCAACAAACTTCACTTTCAGCGAGAGCTTCAATAACCACACAAACACACACACACACGTTTGACATTTGTTTTGACATGTTTAGTAAAAGTGAAACACACGGATCTTAGTGACAGACTCATTTTTCCACATGCATTATGAATGTGTTTCTAGTGTATTCACCAAACCCTAGTGTGCTGCTCGCTGTCTACATACAGTAGGCCAGTGCTAAAGCTAAAGCAGCATCCGCTCATCCTCATCTGGAGAACTGACTGCTTTAAAACAATCAATAAAACTTTGGAAAGAAAACAAACTGCACTTAGTAACATGCAAAATAATCACAGCTCAAAAACCTGCATTGCAATGCATCATATACTGTACATGCATTTACGGTTTATCTTGCTTAGAAATGTACAGTATTTTTTGTTGCAAGTTGCAACATTTATAGATGATTTGATAGCCTGTGTTGAATTAAAATCATGCCACACTTCCTTATTTTGGCACACAAGTAAGCAGCTATGATCTGATCAGACACGAGTAAAAAAAACATTTATTTTCTCCACACAGACATATTATTTGCTTTTTAGTGATTTCCATTATTCCATATTAAAATATATTATTTGAACAAGTAAAACACATTTTATACTTTATACTTAAAACTCAAAAAATGTCAATTGTTACATTGATTCAGTTATGTCATTTGAAATGCTTCATATATAAATAATTTTCCAGTAATAGTTTTTTCCCTCCTGTTAATGTTTGTAATGTGATTGGTTCATGGTTCATGGTTAAGTATTCTTTATTGAGAAAATAAGTGGAGAAAATACTTCCAGAAGTGCTCTTCTGGTCCACGTGGCACCTTTTAGTTTTTGAAGTATAAACTACATTTGATCATGCAGCTGTATAGTAGGCTTTTTTTTAAAGTGGGGGAAAAGAAAAGTTACACTTCATAATATAGATGATGAAATTAGAGTGAACATTTGAGTCCATTCTCTCTGAGCTTTCTATCCTCGACGCTGCTCTTTATCTCATAAAGTCTCCAGCCTCCAGGCACCAAACATTTCAAAATGTGCTCTGACCCCAAATCAGACCCTTTCAAGACCATGTAATCATGTTCACAAAGACATAAAAGAGCAGCTCTGATCCCGAAACAGAGGAGGAGGTGGATTTACCATCACTGAAGCAAACAAACACAGTAAAAACGTGCTTCATTCATCATATGAGCATTGAGTGCATTCAGATGTGTGGCCTAGTTACACAGACACTCGTCACTTCATATCTGTAAATCATTCACTTTTATAGATACTGTTCTTCAAG